GCGTCAACTAAAGCATCTTCAGGGTTAAACTAATGAGAGGGAGCAATTGATCAAAGAGGTATTGGCGTGCTGTACTCTTTTTCCTCCGTCCAAGTTTTGTCCCAATAGGTTTTCCTGGCAAGGTTTTAATGAGGCAGTTTTTAATCTATACAATACCATTTTCAGATACACAAGAATACTGCACTCTTTTCCCTTCGCTAGGGTTTTATCCCACTGAGTTTTCCTTAGCACGGTTTTAACGAGGCATATTCTTAGTGTTGTTTTGTGGACCCCAAGGGGGAGCGTTATGTATATCTAAATGTGTGGGATCCTCAAATATGATCACATCATGAAGCTTACCCGGGAAGACACCCTTGGTGGCTTACAGAGGAAGCTAAAATTTGAGCCTATAAAAGGCTATGCTTATGTACTAGGGCTGCAACTCGGGCTAGGCCAGCCCGAATTTACCCAAGCCCAGCCCAAAATTTTGAGGGCTTGGGCAGTGTTTTTCGGTTCTAGGTCTGGGCTTGGGCAGTGGAATGCAAGACTTACTCGAGCGTTAGGTTACTTAAACGCCTGCCTAAGGCCACAGCCAATAAAAAAGCTCCAAAATTTTAAATTTTTTTATATTAAGTTATATTATAATTATTTCCTAATATTATTAAACTTTAATAAATACAAAATTTCTATATTAGGCCCCAGAGATTTATATCTTAACATAACTTATTTTTTTTTCTTTTCTTTCTCCTCCCTCATTTCGATTTTATATTAGTTCTCAAATATCAAATCCTAAAATAATTTTTTTTTTTTTTTTTTTTTTTTCTCTTTTCTCCTTTCTCCCTCATTGGGATTTTATATTAGGCTTCAAATATTTATATCTTAAAATAACTTCTTCTTTTTTTTGTTTTCTCTCTCCTCCCTTGTTGAACTCTAAGTTGATATATAAATTTAATATTGGGCCCAAAGATTTACATCTTATATGACTTTTTTTCTTCTTCTTTTTTTTCTACTCCTTATTCAGGTTTTTCAATACCTCCTAAAAATTTGTATCATTAAATATAAAAAAAATTCCCTCTTTCTTTCTCTCTCATTCACATGTTTTTTTCGGGCGACACTAAAAAAATATAAAAAAAATTCTGGTTAGTTAAAATATTAAATATGTATTTAATGTTGTTGTTTGGGGATCAAGTGGCGAAAATTTTCCATAATTTTCCACAAGTTTTCTCCTCCTCCTCTCATTACAAGTTTACAGTTGTCTTTCTTCTTCACTCCATACTCATTATATACTCTCAATATGAATGCACTTTTAGTGATTTATTGAAAATTCTGTAGGAGTATTGAATTTGGATTTTATAAACCTGGTTCTATGATTTTTTTTCTTTAATTATTTTTTAGTTTTATTAACTTTTGTTACTATAAATTTGTGTGTGCGTGTGTGTGTATTTGTATATTTTGTTTGTGAGTTGTGACTATTAATGCCACTTTTTTATTTTTATTTTTTTTTTTATTTTTTTTTTGCCTAAGGCTCCAAATTAGATCGAGCCGCCCTTAAGGCTACTCATATTTAAACCACTATGTACTCTTATATTAAACACATCATCACAATACAATACAATATACAGTTTCTCTCTTATTTCTAAAATTTGAGTATGCAATAGGATATTACAAGTTTCGGTCTCCAAATCTTATACATCCTTATGTATTATAAGAGAGTCTACAACTCAAATCACAACTCGCAAGAGAAAAAGGATCAAAATTCATAACAGGTCTCATTGCGACCCTAATTGAAACAAAATTCGGAGCACAAGTTCACAATTGTATTTATTTAATTATATATATATATATATATATATATATATATATATTTGAATAGTTACATTTGTAACTTTAGTATAATATTAATTGAAGATTTATACCCATATTAATAGTCCATTTTTTTTATTTAGAGTTATCCCAAATTAGTTATCTCATTTTCCTTTCAAAACAAACTAAAAACTATATTTTCATAATTATCCTTTTAACTTTTTTAAAAATTTCTCAAACTAAATAATACATATATTAAAGTTAAATGACAACTTAGTAGTTTTAAAATGGGATAATGCAATAATCCAATGTTAGGAGCACATGGGACCGAAGGAGTAATTATAAACATATAAAAATGTAATACGTGGAGTCCTTTTATTAGACATATGGACTACATGGTCATTGTCTATGTCATGATTCCATCATTACATGCGTACTGGTTGAGTGGTTGGCGAGTTGGTGTGGTTTCTTAATCACTTTCCGAAAAAAATAAAAAATAAAAAGGCTTGGTCTGGTTTCTTGCTCATGGGGCCACAACATATTTATTACGAAGACATGCACTCTGAGGTCATCCCTGACGGCGACGGCCTTTGTCCACCAGTATCCAACTGATATTTCTTGGTTAATTGTTTAACCTAATACTACTTATATTCTTAGGCTGCCATGCATATTAAACGCATTGCTGCATAATTCTTAGGCTGCCATGCATATTAAACACATTGCTGCAGCATCATTCTTAGGCTGCCATGCATATAAAACACATTCCTGATCGACTACAAAATATATAAGGCCAAGCAAAACGGAAAAGAATACTATTTACAACCTACCAAATCGGGTACTTAATTACACTTGATGTTTCAGGACGACTCAATATAATTTGTAATATATTAATAATTAGTAAAAATAGTCACAAACAAAATATATAATTTTATAATAACGAAAATTAATAAGATTATAAAATAATTTAAGATAGAAAAAAGGGAAAATTACATATAAATGGAGTCAAAGTTTCATATTTACTTAGAGGCTGGGTCAAAGTTCCATATTTCTCTAAAATGGATTGCTGAGGTGGCACATGGTTTTTTACTGTTTAAAAAATTGTGATGCCTAAAATGCCCTTCCCTAACAAAAAAGTAGTACCTTCAGTGCAAAAAAGTAGTACATTCAGTTCAAAAAAGTAGTACCTTCGGAGAAAAAGTAGTACCTTCGTGGGTGTTTAAAAAATATGGTACCTGGACGCCAAAAAGTAGTACCTTCAGTTCAAAAAAGTAGTACCTTCGAAGAAAAAGTAGTACCTTTGCGGAAGGGTATTTTAGGCACCACAATTTCTAAACAGTAAAAAACCATGTGACACATCAGCAATCCATTTTAGAGAAATATGGAACTTTGACTCAGCCTCTAAGTAAATATGGAACTTTGACTCCATTTATATGTAATTTTCCCTAGAAAAAATCTATCACTCCAACAAATTATTCAATCTTTTTATTTCATTTTTTGTGTGATGAGTGGGTGAAAGAATAAAAGTTAATAGGTATGAAAATTTTAATCAATTCCCACAATTATGGGCTTGGTGGGGTGACAAGGAAGAAGAAAAAGATGGAATGAGGAGAATAAAAAAATAATAAAGGTGAAATAAAAATGAAATTAGGAGTTTTAATAGAAAGTGGAATGAAGTAAATTTATTGGACTCAATATTTAACCTCCTGTTAATTGGAGTCTAATAATATAAGAAAATGAAAAAAACAAAATAAAATTGAATTATTATATGATCCCAGGCAAGCAAAAAATTAAATTTGTGATTGGCCGGGACTTTGACACACATTTACAATTTAACCAAGTAGATTGCAGACATATTTTGAGCAATTCTATACTTGATCTTTGAAAAGATAGTGTGCAAATTGAACAATAGCGCAGATGGTGAATATCTCTTTCACTATCTGTAATATTTCTATCTAATAATTAATGAAACAATAAAATGACAGAGGTTGAGTCGCCTGCAAGATTGAAGTTCCATGGGGATTCCCAATACCCTCTAGAGGGTACAACATTTACTAAGGAGTTCTCTTTACAGATAAAACTCTATGGAGCTCCTCTTCACAAATAAATTTCGATGATTTCGATAAGTTTACCCTCAATTTTGACTTAAATGTGCCGTGATAGATTTCGATAAATTTCGATGATCTCATTCAGAACCTTCACACAACCCTTTGCACCTGCAATGATCTAAGTATAAATAGGCAAGTTAAATTCTTCATTAGCACAACACAACAAAATTGTATTTTTGTATGAATAATTCTTTAAAATTTCAAATTTGCTCCATAATTTCTAGCTCCGTCCTGACTATTCTCATTCTATCAAAGATAATGAATTAATGACTCGCATATCCATAATCAAGACATGGTTCAAATCTCTGGGACTTAGTGCCTCATGAAGCATTAAGTCTTAGGTTCGAATTATCTCGAGTGCGATCAGATCAAATTTTTAGAGATCACAACAGCGGACATAGTTTGAACCTTATCCGATTTGTGTGGAGGGATTATTTTGCACAAGTTTCGTAAATTAGTCGAGGCAAAGCTCCGAACAATCCACTTATCGGAAGGAAAAAAAAAGACATGGCTCAAATTGTCCAACTGTGATGTGGTTGTCAAATATTTGCTAATTAAATCCGAAGGCAAGTATTCCATGGTTTTCTTTTAGTTGTATTGTGTGTGTGTGAATGTGGCTGTGCTTGCTAGAAGAAAAAGTATAAGCTTACTTGTAGTTGCTCTCATTTTAAAGTGGCAGGACCTTCCTAGTATGCCTTTACAATGAATGGCCCACAATTAGCAGAGTGATAAAAGGATCCTTGTTGGCTAGTTTGCCTCTTCATCTAGAGTTTATCACTACTCATTGCACCATTTTTGTTGCTTTTACAAGCATGTGGCTCCATTTTTGCACGTTGCAGTCTTCCAACAGAAGAATAATCTCAAGTACTCCCACTATGAAGCACCAACAGACAATTACAATTGATTAATTCTAAGCAAAATACATTGCTCCAAATATAAAATATAAACTTTGCAGGCTGTTTAGGATAGAATTTGTCTGAATATAGAAATTCAAAACACTCTTACATAGAATTCCTCATGGTCATAAGTATATGGATTTATTAGTTCCTAGCTTCCAAAATTTTGAGTAAATTAATAACAATAACCCTCCACGAGTTCAAGCCATTGATTCAGTTTTTATTAATTGAAGTGTGTAAACAATCTTTCCGCCGGGTAACATTAGAGTTTATCAATTCTGTGAATAGGAATGAGAATACACGATGAATTCAAATACAATTTTAAAAAAAAAAAAAAATTGGAACTTTATTGCCAACAACCGATTACCATTTAACAAATGGGACATGATGTTGGTTATTCATATAGAAACAATGTATTGATGCCATTTCCTCTTAATGGCATATTTACAAAAAAATCATCAATCTTTTCCTGTACGAGTTTCGAATGATGTAAACTTCGAATTGCACTATCTAATTCATAGCGCGAACAAGGGGTGAAGACATAGGGGAGTGAGGGGACATCATATGAGGTGACATGAAGATATCATCCGACCTTCGGAATGATAATTTGACTTGAAGATTTCTTTGCAAACATTGCCTCTTAGGAGCTGTCTCCACTTGCTTGCTTTTAAGCACAAAGTTCCTTATCCTTCTTAGTGAAACTTTCATGGTTTCATCATCCATGTTCGCGAAGCAAACTCTGAACCAACCGGGCTCTGAGCAATGGAAAGAAGACCCCGGCGATACATTGAGCTTAACTTCATTGATTATCACCCGCCAAAGTTTCATCTCAGCTTCAACAGTTGGCTCTTGGAGGAGTCTTCGCAGGTCCATCCAAAAAAAGAGCCCAGCATTGCTATTCAAACTACCAATGCCTACTTGAGCTAACCCCTTTGTGAAGGTCTCATGCCTTTTACTTAGCCTCTCTGCGCTCTCAACGATGAACGTCTCAACAAAATGGTCATCCAGGAGCATTGATGCAATCAGGCGTTGGGTTTGTGTGGAAACAAGTCCAAAACTTGACATCTTCCGAGCACAATTCACTACTGCATCGTTGTAAGAGTACACAACACCGACCCTGAAGCCAGGGAAGCCCAAGTCTTTTGAGAGACTATAAACAATGTGAATAAGATCGCGATTGCATTCCAAGTCTTCCTCTATTATCTCAGCAATGCTAATGAAGCCGGGCTGGTTGAAGACTGTGGCAGCATATATCTCGTCAGAGACTAGGTGGATGCTTTTCTCATTGATGAAGCTCACTATATCTCTCAATGTCTCTCTGTCCAAGACAGTCCCCAATGGGTTTGAAGGGTTGGTTATAAGCAAGCCCTTGACTCTGATGTTGTCCTCTTGAGCTTTCTGATATGCCACTTCCAATGCTGTTTTGGTGACCTTGAAGTTGTCAGAGCTCTTGCATTCAACCGGAACAAGTTGCAGCCCTGTTCGCCATCTCAAATCTCGATCAAATCTGCAATGGAACCCCAAATCTGTGAGTATATTTTGAATAAAATAAAAAATTGAGAACTACAAATGAAAATCACTTGAAATTAGTGCATCTGCACTGTGAGCTCAATAAATTATTGTCAGACGCCTAATTCTGTACACTGGCTCAGCAACTATTATATGGTTTCGGGACCATTGGTCTAAACCAATTGATCACTGGTTGACACAAAGCTAACACATTTGTTTTTGAAGAGATGCCAGTTGGCCTAGTCCAAGGAAGAATTGGGTACCAAGTTGAAGGTGGTCCTTATTTAAGTCAAGTAGCTAGCTTTCAGCTGCCACTATTACATATTGTACCAAGTGGTTATGAAAGGTTCCTATAAGAGGACCTACTTACTTTATTATAGGGAAAAGTTTTTCTTCTCAATGGTTTTACTTTCTTATAGGAGAGTTTGTTTATTCATCTAAGTTCTGCTAACTTTCTCTCTAAGGAGGAGCATACATTAATTAACATGTAGTGAAGAAAAAAGATCAAACTTTAAAGAACAGAACCACCTAATCTACATTATTGTATCTGCTTCTAAATCACCAAAACACCCACACACACACTGACACACACACAAAGTAGAAGAAGAAGAATGATGTATTACCCTGGATAATATGGTGTGGGTACCAAAAATGCATCACCAGGATCAGCCAAGCAGAAGGCCATGGTTTCATGAGCTCCAGTTGCTCCACCACTCATAACAATACGGTCAGGGTCGAATGTCACTCTGTCTCCTCTCACTTTTCCCATAAAATTGGCGACTGCCTGTAGATTTACATCCAAAAATTCTCAAATTAATATCAATATCAATCATAATACTATATGGTAGATCATATATAAATATATATATATATAGTTCTATATATACTTACATTTCTGAACTCTGGCAAGCCATGATAATCCTGATATAGAGCAATGTCCTTGAAGTCATTCGCTCCTTCAACCGTACAGATTGAGGCTTTTGGATTGTTCACAATCCAGCTTTGAATCAAATCAAAACAAAGCTGCAAAAGACCAAAAATCAGATAAGTTTGAGCAATTATAAGATGGGATGTGACTTTTAAGAATAGAAATACTTCATGTTAATAAATATGTTAAATTGTTACCTGGTTTTCTGCAAGACCCATCTGAATAACACCATTAGGATTGCTAGTAGGATGATAGGGATCAGTGTCATACGCCTTCCAACCATCGAAGTAAGGCGAGTCTTCGCCATGTCCACCGTTGGTTGCTATTTTGGACAACAGGTTCTGTTGCTTGCTCATAATTGAAACCATCTTTTTTTGCCGAAAAAGTCGTGTAATTAAGGCTGTGCGAGTTGAGGTTGAGGGGAAAGAACTTATAGAGACTATAGAAGGGGGAAGGAGTACTCTAAATTGTAAGAGCTTTTGTTATGCTCAAGTTCAGAAGATGAAATTTTGGTAGATTTTATTGTGTGGGTTGTGTAGCTTATATAGTGTTGTTCTTCAGAGAAAAGCTGGTGCTGGGGTAATGAAGTTCTGAGAAGGAACCATCCACGGCCTTTCTTTTGAAAATGTTGTCTCTGTCTGCCACCTGCTGGACAGCTTTGAATTTAATCATATACATTAATTACATAACCTAATTCCCAAATTTGGGAATTATACACGAAATATACACGTTGACTCGTTTCTTTTAAAAAAACATTTTAGTTTGCAACTCAGTTATACGGTAAAATACATTAAAAAATGTAGCTTCGTAATATCTCATTTACCATTCTAAGAAAGTGGTGAGAATCCGAATCACTGTGGGGATAAATGAATGCCTAAATTTCTTATCCGTAAATATATATATATATATACATGATAAAATACGTCCTGTCCTATTTTAAAAATAAAATAAAAATTTATTCGCGTGCGTGTTGACCGTTGAATTGATTTTACCCTTTTTCATATTTTGGCATACAGTTTTTTTTATAAACTTATGACTTCATAGCATACAGCTGTCAAATTTTCCTAGTGTTTGACAACAATTAGTGATGTATTTTTTTTTTTTTTTATCAGTTGAACAAGGTAGACTTGTTAATTTTTTCTCTTTCCCTCCAAAGAGTTTCCATCAATCTAACATGTCAAAAATAATTAAGAAAATTGATAGAATTGAAGTTAATAAAAGCTTGCCAAGTATGTTATTTTGATCTGACTTCACTCAATGTTGTTCCGAGACTCCATCTTCTATTGATTTCGATAATAGTATAGTTGAATTTAGACCAATATATAAATTACACAATTTATTTCTTCCTTTTACACTCTGATACAACAAAATATGGACAATGGGACCAAATCAATTTCCATTAAGTGAAAATATATTGTTATATTTTCACTTATCGTCTGTAGATTCTTTATGAAGATATGACGTATAAAAAATAAATAAATAGCTAACATATTTTAAATAAATAAATAGCTAACATATTTTAATCTGAATTGTTGGTCATTAGTTTTAAATTCATACAGCGTATTACGCATGTACGCATCTGGATTTGTATTTTTACATTTTCTTTTCTCGGCCGAATTTTGTTAAAAATATTCTATAAGTCTATATATATAATAATTATACTCGTACTTTATCCAATAGTCTTTTTTGCGTACCCATGCTCGTTACCCAATTACAACTGGGGTTAGGTATTAAATCCATTTGACCGTCACTTCCTTGAAAGTTCTTGAATACTTGAAGGGGGCACCTTATATACTGAGGTAACTTTTGCCTCAGGCCATAATTTATTTATTTTATTATTATCATTATTATTATTTTATCGTTGGCAATGAACTCACATGTATCACTCACTCATCCAATTTTATTATGGAGATTGGAACCTTCATCTTCCACTTTAGAATGTAGATGAGATATCATTGGACCACAAGGCCTTAGTCTCTCAATTCACATTTATATGCCATGAAAGCATATATGAAGAGATTACTTTGAGGATAATGACTTGGAGTTTAAAAATCGAAGAATTTCAACTGATTTATGTAAGTGAGAACTGACACCATTAATATTTACGATATAATGATGATATAAGCTCTTATTTACATAAAATTAGTCCGATATGTTTGAATGTGAGACTCCCTATAAATGTATTACTACCATTACCAAACATATAGCATAAAAAAATTACAGTACCGTCATTATAGCTTGAGGGATCTCCTAATCACCTCTACCTAAACTTTTGCTAAACACAGAAAAGTAAAAATAAAAATATATATTTTATGTAAAAAAATATATTTTACATTAAAACAAACCGAGCTTAAATGTGAAAAATAAATAAATAAAATAAATCTATTCATGATTACTTATTTTGACAGTGTGCAATTCCTGAAACACAACATGTTTTAATATTGTGGATCTTGTGCTTAAAATTATATAAAAAAACACAACAATTTTAGTCCACACCAAACGGGGACTTTTGGTTGCATGTTTTGTGTTTGCGCCCTTCAAAGTATACCAACGGAAAGAAACAAATGGTACTATTGGAATTGCAAATAAGAATGTAGAGTTGGCGCAGTTAGAAAACACTTGGACTTTAGTGTCTCCTTATGAATTAGATTTTCGGTTCAATTATTCCTAAATTCAAACAATTTCTTAGAGGCATACTCACGAACATAGGCCGAATTTTAACCAATCCATGTGAAGAAAATATTTGGAGTGAAAAAAATATTTCGAGTGAAAAACTAGTATTACATTGGTAATTATTCTCCTCTTGAGTCCAACTTGTACCAAGTCTGGATATTATTCAACCCCTCAGTACTAGTCTTATCACAACATTAGTCTGTGACGACCACAACATTAGTCTTTGTCATTACCTACAGTTTCCTATATTTTTTGGAAACTGCTTAGAACTTTGAATTCAAAAAGACTTTAGTTACATGATCAATGTTTTTAGTCTGAAGCTTATTCCAACTTTAGTACTCCTTTGAAATAATTATCTTTTTAAGAGAATTTTACTTCACTTGAAATCAAATAACAGTTTCATTTACCAAACATGTTTGATATATTTTCTGCGTGTTTTCCTAACACATTGTTCTTTGAATTGAATTGATGTTTGTTTCGATCATAATCAAAGACAACAGAGTGTAGTCCATTTTTTCATGCTACCAACAGGGTAGCATTTATGTACTGTGTATGTATTTACACACACATAGTAGTATATTAGTACATAGTATAAAGATGTACATACGAAAACACGCTATTAGTATCACACAAAGTTGTCAGCTAACAAATCACGACTCTGCGTGGCTACATCTGAATTCGTACCTTTTATAGTGGGACACATGTGTTTCATGGCCATTGGCTTGTAAGTTGTACCATCCTTCATTGTATAGACAAACCGCCCCATATTCATTTCATGAAACTTGTTGTCTATGTAACACGTGATACCATGAGAATCAGATTTTGCCCACTTCCATGTCTTGTGGTTACATCCCATTTTTGACAAGAACCAGAGGAACATATGATGGTTGCATGGAATTACGTGCAACAAAGTTTAGACATCCCCATTCAGGCTTTTTATTCTTTCAAAGCTACGTCTTGTATTCTATTATCCACGTGGACAATGTTGACTCTTATTTTAAATGAATGATAATGATTTAGAATTCAAATGTAGGACAACGATTAATTTTTATGAGTGGAGACTGACATTGTCAAAATACCTAAATTGATGTCATGACGTTAACTTTTACTCAAATAAATAAGTCGAATTTGTAAAATTGTCAAACTTCTATCATTACTATTCTTAAATAAATATTTCAATAATCTAAGAACAACCCTATTGTAGTCCATATTTGTACGTTAAGGCTTAATGTTGCATAGGAAATGACTCCACAATTAATGTATTGAAATCTTAAGTTATAAAAAAATATATATTGAAATACGATTTAATTTAATTTAATTTAATTGTGTTAGAAATCTCTATAACACAATACCACACCCCGCTACAGAAAATCAGACGCTAAGATGGAGTTGGATCTTATACAATCTGAGGGTCCACAATATTCCTCACAAGCTTGTGAAAGGTACTCTACAACACTGTGCGGTATTGCACTGATCTACATCTACCTCACGATTATGTGGTTGTACGAAAGCATGAAAAGACTAGACTAAAATAAGCCCAAAAGAATGCACATCAAACATTTATTTATATATATATACACAAATATATGTGGACTACATCATCACATGCGTACTGGACGGTAGTCAGTTTCCTTGCTCACGGGGCCACAGTTACATGACATACTTAATGAGGTCATGTCTGATGGCCTTAGTCCACCACTACCCGATCTTTGGTCATGTCTAATTTTTACTTCAATATTTTGACCGGCTATAAAATATGAAAGGCAGAAGAAATACTACCCCACAATTACATCAGTAAATAATATAAACTTTATTGGATTAGAATCGGATCAAATCTAATCAGTCCAAATCGGATCAAAGTTTGATTCCATCTGAATGTATTCTATTTATAGGATTACCTATTACACCATCTCTAATACAAAATGTCATTTTTAAATATTAAATTTATATTTTGAAAAAAGTTATAATATTAAAATAATATATTTTAACAATTCTGCTCCAATAATACATTTCATCTAAAATGTTATTTATTTAGTTTATTTGCCTTATTAAAAAAAAAAAAAAATCAACAGAGTTTTGAAATTTAGGCAACTTTTGAATTAATACACACACACATAAAAAGATAAACAATATCCCATCATAAAAAATTATTTCCAATTAGTGGCCATTTTAAGTTTAATGTCCTGAATATTCTTTAATCACAAGAGTGTCATGACCCCACCATCACCATCTCAATCTCTTCTCCCCAAAAATGGTTTTTTTCCATCAAATTTGCAGAGAGTTCAACCTTAGTTGTACATAAACCAACACTATCAAAATGAAAAATCAAAGCAACAGAGCGGAAGAATGTTTCCCATACCTTGCAAAAGCTACTACTCACAGCGAGCATCAAGCTTGTACTACTTCAATTTGGCCTACCTGTTTGCCTGAAACCCCAAAATGAGAAACAATTAACACACTAAACAACATAATTAAACAAAAATTATAAGAGAAATTAACAAATAAAAGGAGAACAAATAATCAAAGATATATATATCTCCGAAAATTGAATAACGAGATTAAGTGAAACTGCAAGCAATAGATTTTGAGAGAGAGAAAATTGAACAGCGATGGAAAATGGCATATATACATATAAAAAATGCAGATCTGAGAAGAGATATATATATATATATATATTCATATATGAGGATGAGATGGGAAGAGAAAGTGGTGCGACCAAGCGTGTGCACAAAATAACACTTTAGGTTTAGAAATAATGTCAAGTGGGCACCATATTTTAAAATTTATAAAACCACTAAACACTTATACTATGGAGTATGAAGTGAGCAGGGATCGTCCCAAGAGATCTAAACAATTATAGGTTTTCCAGAATTGAATTCTACTTTAGTACTTATGTGATTACTAAAAAGGTTTGGTTTTGGGATTAGACTAATTTTAA